AATTACCTGGATGAGCTTGAAAGCGAGTTCTTCCCAAAGCCCAGGCAGCTGGTGCATTGGTGTTGGTCTGTTGGGATCTTTAAGCAGGGAATCCAGCTGAGCATGCGCCTTGATTTCTTGACTTATAAAAATCACGAGATAATAAATTTGCATTGTTTTGTGCTGCTTAAAACCAACCAACCAACAAACATGGAAAAGAAGAAACTCTTCAACTATTTTTGTTTGTTTGTTTCTTCAACTATTCTTTCAAATTAGATTGAATTCATGAAATCATCTCCAAGGGATCATTCTACTTGTCACAAGCTTTTGTTGGTTGAAAGTTGAGTTTATCATTTTCTTTTCTCCTTCCCCAGGAACCTATTCTGATCCACAGAGAAGAAATCACCTACAATTTGGAAAACATAAGCCAGCAGTCATCATAGTTGAGAGGCCATTTTTCCCACATATCACTGTATACTGAACTTTAGATCTTTTCAGATGTCTTAGAATATTTGTCTATAGGCTCATTTTGCATGTTTCTGTTTATGCTGAGTCTCTCCACCTTTCTCTGCTTTCCTTCAAGTGTTAGTTAGGTCAGGCTGCTGTAAGAAAATATCACAGCCTGGGTGGCTTAAACAGCCAACATTTACTTCTCACAGTTCTGGAGGCTGGGAAGTCCAAGTTCAAGGTAAGGTCCTGGTTGGTTTGGTTCCTAGTAAGAGCTTTCTTCCTGTCTCGCAGACAGCCACCTTACTGCTGTCTCTTACTGTCTCTTTCCTGTTAAATTATTTTCTCTTTCCACATATCAAATATCATTGCTTCATCAATTCAAGCGTGCTTTTCAAAGCCATCCTGACCAGAAGACTCAAGATTCATAATTGCAAGTACACTCCACAACATTCCAAACACTTGAAATACACTTTCAAAGCTGGACGCTGAGTGTGTTTCAAGTTGCATCAAGTGAAAAATAGGATTTGTAATTTTTCCAATCAAAGCTGTAAACACGTTCTCAGAACAAATACAACTCAATTTTTCTTTATTTGTGTAACTTAATGGCATTCTTAACATTTCTACACTTTAGGAAACACCTGATGCAGTGTCTGGCATATAGTTTTTGAACAACAACAAAAAATGGGTGCATGCTTTTGTTCCCTTGAATAACAGGTAAGAGAGTCCTAGTGACCATAACTGTTTCTCCACATTCCCTGGACTAATGACTTAGCAAATACCGAAAGAGCAGTTTCAATGGGTTCATCAAGTACTGCACTAACAGTAGGCCCCGTTATCATATAGGAATGCAAGTCTGAAACAAGTGGAAACAGTTATCATTAATGGCATCATCATAGAGCTGCCAGAAACACCATCCCAAAGCGAAGCGTATGCCAAATGCCTGCTTTAAAAATATGGTGACTAATTACTGACCCAAACAACAAAATCTGCCTTGGAAACAAAATTCCCAAAGAGAGATTCATTTAACATCAAATCTCATTTAAATGACCTCTAATAGAAATAGCAGAGAAAACAGTAATTTACATATATTAAGGTAGCTGTTGAGGCCTGCAAAAATTGTAAACATCCCTACTAGTTACCATTACAAAAGCATTCATTACCCCTATCTCTTATCTGGATGATGCCTCTTTGAAAGGAATTTCTGGCTGCTGGTTCTAGAAACATGATGTGGCAAAAATAAGCCCAAATGCTGCAAGGAAATGCGATGAGTGGACGTTTTCCTCCTTAAGGAAGTTGACTTGCAAATTTCCGAAAAAAAGGGAATTGAATGCTTTTTCTAACTTCTTAGAGAAAACCAGCGCTCGCCTAGCACAGTATGTTTACATGCAGGCTTTGACACATTACCAAACTTTTGAGTTTAACTGGCACGACCTTAGAAAACACTCCTCGGACAGCACGTAAGGGTTTAGCAAATATTTATTTCTTTAGCATCTAAGTTGAACTAAATAGAAATTGTACATAACGGTACAGGCAAAGGATGCAGTGCTGAGTGGCAGATCCATATGATAGAGAGACGCACTGTCAACGGTCTTTGGACCTTACCACTAGATGGTAAGTCTCATGGCTTATAATCGGTGACAAGAAGTAAGAAAGCACATGCTGTTTTGGACCCGGGCAAATAAAAGGGAGCCAGAGAGGCAAGAACCGCCCCCCCCATATAGTTCTCTAGCTTATAACTAAGCCATTTAAACACAAACAGAACACATCCAATTGTAACGAAAGCCAAAGTATAACACTCTCTTCCCAAGAAAAAATAAACATACCAGCTTAAATAACACACTACAATCAAAACAGTGTTCATGGAAAGTCTATTATTTATAACTGAGTCAAAGGCAACAGTTGTTGGCCTGAAAAATGAGCACTGCTCTTGAAATAAGTAACTTGGATGCGATACACTGTTGTAAGAACAAGAACACGGGCTCCTTACTGTCGGCATCGCTGCGGCACTTTCTCCTGGGAGCTCAAATATCTACCCAATCCCAAGCGGTTTTCTTAATGTATCTGGCAGGCTAAAGACACTCATTTTTAAGGACAACAGTTGCTGTGTTTGTTTCATGCTTAACACCAACACTCAGAATTATTATTGTATTTTACAAATTTTACAAATGTTCAGAGTCGCTCTGAAGATTTACAAAGACCTACACCCTATAGCAAATATTAAACACTCCATAAAAACATCCTAAGTGTGTAACTAATTTGGGGAAAGAAAAAAACTCTAAAGTATATACAGAACTGCTGTTTACTAAACAGGCAAAGACTTTCTGTTCCCTTTTTTTTTTTCCTAGAGCTCTTCTTAGTGTTGCTTTCCACTTTAATCCCTGTTTCTCCAAGTTAATAGTTTTGCACTGAAATATTCAGCAATAAACACAAAGAAAAAAATAGCAATGTAGAATGTTAGACATGAAGAGACCTTACGATTCCTGAAGCAAAACCTCTTCAAGGCGTTAGCAAGGTGACGTCCTTGCTAACAAATCTACATCTCTAGCTCAGGAGGGGGGATGAAAACTGAAAGAGGAAACGTACACCGTTTTATATCAAGGCTCATTCTATTCCCAGGACCTCTTCCTTCACAGAGGACAACAGAGCGGGGGTCTGAAGAAGCAGGAGACTGATCCTATACGGAGGTGCCTCTTTGATTCTAGGATGGGTGTTATGGTTCTTTCTCAGCTTAATATTTGTTCCTAGAGGGCACGATTTCTCTTCCCCAGGTCTATCTATGACTGGGGAAAATGTGGTGGGTCAGGGCAGACTCTTAATTCCTCCCTGTCTTGAAGGTAGCTAAGCTTGTGTCCTTCCTGAGTTCGAGAAAAAGAAGATAAATCTGGTCAATCCATTTGTGATTTTCTAAGCCCGGACATTTCTCAAAGGAGATCCTGAATTTGAATTCTGACAGAACAAAAGATGGGGAATACGTTTTGTAGTATGTTTCAGATTCTCAAGGACAGAGCAACATAGGTTTTTTGTTGGTTTGTCTTTTGAAGGGACAATGCAGTTTATCTTAAAGAACGTCGTGATGTGTGTGCGCATGTGCACTGCACCTGCACGCATGTTTGAGGGAAGGGGGAGAGAATGAGCAAATGGGAAAAGGTGTTCATATATATATATATATATTTGAAAATTTAGTGCTCTCTCTAAATTGTGGACTTTTATCAGGCTTCTCTCAAATTAGCATTTTAAAAATCTCCCCCTCTTACTAGTCATCTCATTTTACTTGAACAGCTTCAAGGTATATTTAATTCTTAAGGCTTATATCATAGAAAAGTTATTCTCCTCGGTCCTATCTCTTCAGTTAGACAATATTTGAGTTCACAATTGACATCACTGTTATCATTGTTATCAACTGCTTGTGTATGTTATCAGGATTAAAATGGCAACAACGTATGTGCTATCTGCCTTACTTAAAAAAAATCTGAATACAAGAGAAAAATCTCACTTTCTCTTTTCTTGTTTAATGGCAGAATATTTTCAAGAAATTGTGCTTTATTGACTTATCTGTTCGCTATGAGTGTTTCAGACATAAGCTTTGCTAAAGACCCTGTGATCCGTGGTTATGGTTCTATTTCTCCACACTGGGCAGGGTTTTACTGATATATATGCTGTTTTCAGTTAATATTGGTGGGCAGCAATGACCTCCAGTGGATTCATGGGCAAACAGCAACTGGGTTTTACAGAGAACGTTAATTTTCAAAATACTTCTACCCTTTAGACCTTTTGGAGCTTGGTGGCTAACAATGAACTTTTAAACTTTTTAAAAACATTTATGTATTTCTTAATTTTCAAATGAAATTGCAAGCCATTTTAAGTTATCAACACCTGAACTTTCTGAATTATATACCCTATAAGCCAATTTTGAAAACAAATATTTAAAGTTAACATTTAAATAACTATTCATAATTGTTTTCATGTGTAAAATTCACTTGCTTTTAGTTTTTATTTAAATGAAAAGTATCAACAAAACTTCATATTTTAGAAAGGTAATCGCTAAATAAAACGGAGAAGGAAAGACTTCAAGAAATAAGTGTTCTCAAAAATAAAAACTTTTGATACTATTTAGAAAGAGAAAAGTGCTCTAGACATGGTAGTTAAGTGAACTCATGAAACATACTTCTTATTTAACATAAAATGGGAAAATTTGACATCTGAGAGCAAACTGCTTTAACATTTTTAAAATTATAAACGTATGTTTCTGGAGTATCTTTTATATGTCAGGGAAGAAATTAATTTAAGTTTTAATAGGGCTTGGGTGCTGTAATATCTTCATTTTTGGCTTGTGAGGTAATAAATTATTCATAAACACATTATCTCCATCTTAAAGCATGACATAAGCGTTAAGACATTTTTATTTAAGGTTTTTTTTTTTCTGAAAATGGACAAGATGTATTAACAGAAACTGTTCAAATCTTTACTAGACAATCTTTGTAAAAAGAGAAAAAGGAGAATATACTTTTTGTACCACAAGAGGGCAGCAAAAACTTTTTCAGTTAGACTTCTAACTACATCTTTTTTGGCTTTTTTTTTTTTTTTTTTAATAAGTTACCTTAACTTCATTCTTTATTCAGTGGAGTGAAATTGAAAGGACGTGTTTTCACCATGAAACATAACTATAGTGAACGGGGTTGAATGAATGTTTTATGAAGGGCATGAGCCTCAAGGTGACCACAGTTTTTCTTTCATGGTTTACAATTACAACACACCTGCTTCATAAAACACAGAGCTTAGACACTAACATGAGAATTCTTGGAACGCAAAGACAGTTCATATGAGAACATTAAAGTATTTGATGTTCTGTATATTTTACATCGTGGCGGAAGGGTAGAATTCAGAAAGATTAAAATATATATTTAATTTTTTTCCATGCTTATTAGAATCTCTGCTTTTTCATCAATACTCCAATAATCCTAAGTTTTCCAAGGGTAAGATAATAATTTTGCCAAGGAAAAGCAGCCAAGTATTCAAAACTACAGCTATGGTCACTTTTTGGTAAATATAGTCGGAAGCCACTGAGGAATATACTTGTTTAGAAAATTAGTTAGTTTTATGAGATTTTTAACCAGTCAGATGAGTAGGTAGAATAATTTATCGTAATACCTTCACAGTCATTTCTGTGTTACAGAACTCTTTTAAGCAGTACAAAGAAGTTAAATGGCTTCTCTTCATTGTTGTTGTTATTTGTTTTCAGTTCCAAACAGAAATTCTCCAGAAGCCAGTAGACCGTTTCGCCCCATCAGGAGTCCAGTGTGTGCCTGGGCAGGCGGTAGTGCTCCGCTTTGGGACGCAGCTTCTTTTCCTGTGGGTTGGCATATTTCCACTTGGAAGGCGACATTTTGAGCTTTTTCCTCTTCTTATCTGTGCACCAGACCTTTTCACAGTATTCCTCCACCCTCTGGAAGTTGCTATAACCAATCAGCTGCAAGAATTCCTTGTACCAGGGTTTTGCCCCGTGTGGGACACTACTCTGGGCAGGACAGGGCATCTTGTGAGGCCCGTCCTCTTCAAAGTCTTTGTGAAACATTTCCTCCACTCTCTCCTCTTCCACCACCTCCAGGGTAATTTTACGGACAGTATGGACAAAACCGTGCTCTACTGTCTGGCAAAAATAGGTCCCAGCATCCGTTTTGTGTACCCTGAGGAAGAGTAAACCGAGGTCCATCTTAACCACTCTGTCATCCATCTTCACCTGCAAGAACAAGAAAATGAATGGCACTGGAGCATGATTCAGGAGAGGACACCAACCTAGAAACCCTCTCACCATCTGTCTTGATTCTTTTTAAATTTTTGTTATCCCATGATGAAATCCTGAGAGTCACAGCTGCGTCTGAGAGCAAGCAAGCGAGAAGGATGGATTAAATCAGGTGGGTGTATGCTGAACTTACTTGCATTTGAGATCACCTCATATTGATGATTTTAGGGTCATTTCACATCAATATTGTTAAGAGCAGAGTGAGAGGTTTCTCCCTAATGATTTCAATTAATCATTAGAAAAAACCATCTAGTTCAGTATAGCACTCAAAATTAGAGCGAAGTGAAGATCTGTCAAGTTTAACTTTTTCTTAGCAGTCAGCACAGATGCCATTTCTCACACTGTTAGTTCAGGGGTTCTTACTCCTTCCAGATCACAAAGACCAATGTCTCTGTAAGGACCCCTGTTGAGAGATCTGGGATACCTTCACACTCTCTTTCCTTATGAAGAAAGAAAAAAAATTCACCCATTCATTAATGAAGTGAGCATTCCTTCTATTTCTACAAGGCTTTCTACTTAACAGAGAATTAAAAATAAGCCAGAAAAAATCCATAATCTGCTCTGAAGAATCTCACGCTCCAGTAAATATTGATTGCACATAACTTCAGGGCTCAAATATCTTTTTTTATGTCTGTGACATAATAAATTATGCACATGACTTCTATAAATAAATACAACTGAAGGTAGGAAGAGCACAGTAAGCCTTTTGAAAAATACAGCTCATATGAGAAACAGTCAATGATTTGACATGAGACAAAGCTAGATTCAGACACGGGCACCACTCTCTACTAATTGTGCGAGCTACGGCATTTACGTATATTCTCTGCCTTAGGTTTCTTCGTAAAAATGGAGCTAAGCCTACTGTCACTTGAACGACTGTTGTGAAATTTAAATAGAATAACCTAAGTGAGACCACTCTCCATAGTGCTACCAGTACTTACCTCCTCTCCCTTTCCTATATACAGTCCCCCAGCCAGAAACAAACCGGGAGGTGTTTTCAGGTGGCCTAGCATCATACCATGGTGGTATGAAGCTGATTCCCACTATACTGGCTAACTTGGCCCTTAAGAATACAAAACGAAAACAATATTCACCTTTGCCCATATAAAAGGGGCAGACTAACTACCACAACCACTCTGGCAGTAAAGACCACTGAGACAAGCATGTTTTGGTCCCAGGGGCAGGTCCTGGGCAGGCCAGCTGCGTTCAGCTCTCCTGAGCCTGCATCAGATCCGGCGTGTCTGAAGTTACAGAGTGCACTACACACGAGTGTATATAATTGTATAACTTGTGAATCATGTGGCAAAATAGCATTGGTGGTGTGGTCAGAGACTGCATCTCACATAGGCACGTTAAGATAAATTCTGAGGCTCTCAGACTGTTTTTTTTGTTTTGTTTTGTTTTGTTTTGCCAGCCATATAAGCTAAAGTAATTATTCAGCCACTCCAGAGTGACATAGTTGGATGAAGGGGCTCCATAAATCCTTGACAGGGGCTTCCCTTGACTTGGCAGGACCATGTCCAAGTAGGCAGAATGCTAGAGCCATGAACTCAAGAAGTTCTGTCGTGAGAAAGCGGGAAGAGCAGTCCACCAGAACCATCATTGCTACATCAAACAACCGCTTATCTGTTGACAGGTTTTGCTGACGAGGTATCGTGGACACCTGCCACAGGCAGCAACTCAAATGACTTGGCGTCCCTGTTCATGCTCACCACTACTTTCTCCACAAATTTATCACATGCCTTGAATGATTCTGACTCTGAGACTCAACCTGCATTGTTTTTAAACTTGTGGCTGCATGTGACATAGAGGGATCCACCTTCTTAAACATTTTTTTTCTTTCCCTGTCTGGTACACGCCATTTTACTGTCCCGGTTCTCTCCTTGGTTCCCTCTTGGTCTCTTCTGTAGATTTCTCCTTCCCTCTAGGGCACAATCCTCCATCCTTCCTTGATCTCATGTTTTATTTGCATTCATTTGGTAACTCATCTATTTCCTCATTTCAGTGAGCTTCCCTAAGACAGTGTGTCTTACACAGAGATCATCCACTGTTTTGAGTTTCCTGTTAATTACAGAACACTGACCGAAACTTACATGATCATTATTTACAACCCAGTATCTCTCCTTGCAAACTGCACTGCCCGCTTTACTAACTTCCTTATTCCTGACAATTACATTATTATTCTTCTAGTCCCTCTATCCTCATGTGTTGGTCTAATTCTTTCTCATTATTATGCCCTCGTATCTACTACATCACACATTCCCATCAACATTTCTTCTGTGGCGATGGTGGGAAACATTCATTCCATTTCACTCTTTTCCCACAGCGCTGGATTCTCATACTTTGTGACTGATTCTTCGACCTTGCCTCATGGTAGACTCCTCCCAAATCTTCCTTCTTTCTCTGTCTGCCATTATGCTCAGCTTGATTCTGTTTCATGACCCAAGGTGTTGTACCTGTCTGGAGGGACTTCCCTACTGCCGGTTCCATATTGGAAAAGGCTGAATTAAAACGGGTCTTTCTCACACCCCTGTAAGAGTGTCCTCCTTCCCTTATTACCATATCATGTCACCTGTTAACCTTTGTCAACTGAGCATGCAACATTACCTGCGAAAAATTACAATTCCTTCAAATAATTTTCTTTTGACTGATACCTTTCCCCCTTTCTTTCAACAAACAGGTACTATTTTACCCTGCTTTTAATTTCATTCCTTTTGTCATGCTCCTTACCCAGATTCTATTGCTTGCCCAAGCAGGTAAGAGTTGTTCAGTTAACCAGATCCTGCCTTTCTAAATCCATATCCCCAGAGACCTTACTGTAGTGCTTCTCATAGGGCTGGTGGAATAGGTACATTTCTGGATGGAGATCAATGAGTGTTCTGTAAAGACTTCTTCGATTACTGTGTTTAATTTTCATGATAATCATGTAAGTTAATAAACTATATTTGGGATCATGGGGAAGATCAACTTCATCGTTAGTATTGGTGTTTATCATAGACTCTGAACCATTTTCAAAGCTTTAACGGTTTCCAGCTGCTGTGAACAAAGATGAATGTAATATGTTAATGATATGTTCCAGCTAAATGAAAACCAAACAACATCCCTACGCAGTAATGTACATAAAAAGTTTTGAAGTCACTTGTATAAAGTGTCAGGGGGATTGAGTCAGCACATGGCACAAAGTGCTGCAGGCAGATGTTTTAGACACACCTATGTGGTAGCCTGTGTCCTGTGTTCTGTTCATGGAGACGCCTGTTTCAGTGAAAAAAATCATTACATTAAAGATTTAAAGGATGCATACACTTGTTTGTATCCTATTTGTAAATTTATTTTGTTTCCATATTCAAATAAAAGTTACAGGCAAAAAGAATGCATTCCTTGTTTCATTCTTGTGAATATTTAATAAACATTTTAATACAAGTCATGCTGGCAGCCCAAGACAATGTCTTAGTTTCAAGGGCAGATGGTGGGGACAAGCTGTGCAAATACCAGAGTCAAGCCTTCCTTTTCATAACTCCTCCTGTTCCGGGTCCCTTGTATTGCCACTTTCTCACTTGCATGGCTTATTCCGGTCTTATTCTTCCTTTCTGTTAGTGAAATCCTTCCTATGGTCCACCAATCCATTTTTTTTTAAATTTCTTGCCAAGCTTACACTTTCACTCCTTAATGAATACTTCCTTTTCAGCCCTAAAGATCTCTTCTTTCTTTTTATAACTCAATGGCATTCACATTTGTAGCACCCAAGCTGGTATTTATGTTCCTTGTCAAGTAATTTTGCCATGCAAGTTTCATCTCTTTAACCACAAGTTTCATAAGAGCAAAGGCCTATCTTTTAACTATACTGAGTCTTCCATAACGATTAGAGTAGTGCTCAGAACCTAAATGAAAATGAGACCAGATGTACAAGGATGCAAGGCAATGGGGTACCCCAATAAAGGTATGTCCACAGAAGTGATTCACTTCTATGTCAATCCAGTAATGCTTTGGACAGGGAGGAAGCAAGCATGATTTCAGGAGCAGTAAGTAACTGCTCAAAGGGCTATGCTGCACAGATACAGAGGAAAAGCACTTCTAGGACACTGTCTTCACCTGGAAGGAATCTGCATACAAACAGCCTCACTGAATATGGTCCTTGGTTTATTCCCTACTATCCTTCCCATGAGAGGGCAAATATAAAAATATGAAAGTCATCTAGCATAGTTTCTGGCATATACCAACCAGTTTATGAAAGTGTTTAAAAATAGAACAAAAAGCAAAAATGAAAATAAAGACAAATCCTTGGCCACTGGGTTAGGAGTGCTTCTTTCTTTTTCCGAGCAGGTATTTCTTTCAAAATCAGAAACCCACTTTGAGAAACACTGCATTGTGTGTATATAAAGTCCAGCCGAGTTCAAAGATATGGAGGTGTGATAATTACAATGGGAACTGTCCTGCATCAATTGTTTGCATGTTAGAGATAGTGCCGGTCTCAAAATGTAGGTTTCCCTCCCCGGCTACAGTGAGTTAGAAATTTTAGTAATAAAAGACGTTTTAACTCCAAAATCTGGATGGCTGTACACTATGTACGTTAAATCACCTCGAAGGTACTATGTACGTTAAAACACTACATAAATGTATCTTCTGTAGCCTATGAATACCTAAAAATAAAAGTGACTTAGAAATTTGTATTTGAAGTCCTTCCATGATTTAATCTTTCCACTTTAGTCCAAATGGGCACCTTCAACAGCAAATCTTGATTACACAATTGTTTTCATCAGCTGTGCTTTCTCTACGTCTGCAGACCCGATTTCCTTGGTCAAGAAGATGATACATAATACATCACTTTATCAAATATTCTTACAGGCAATCTACAAAAATAGAGCATTTCTTACTGAAAATGGTTTTAATATTCTGAGTTATAGAGATTGATTCAGTATGTTTTGTAATGTCAAGTAAAA